ACTACATGCTTACAGTCATCGATGTGCTGAGCAAGCATGCTTGGGCTATGCCGCTTAAGACTAAAGGTGGAAGCGAGACGGCTAATGCTATCAGTGAGATAATTCGGGAGAGCGATAGATGCCCGAAAAACCTGCAAACTGGGTTAGAATCCCCCTATATACCCTACTTATGGAGGTTGTCGTTATTTCTTAAAATAGAACTCCCTGTTTATTACACTATCTTATTCTACTAATATGAACAACTTTTGTCTGAAACACTTTTTGATTTGCCTAATACTTTTTAAGATATTCAAGAAAACATTTATAACTTTTTCAATGTTTAGTTTATAATATCTCGATAACTGTTAGTCGGAGGAAAAGTAGTACAGGACATTTTTACTTGATTTGGTCTCAGGAATATGCTGTTGCAATAGTGTTCAATTATTAAAAATTTTTGTGTATGTAAATTTTGTGGTACCATACACCAAAATAGTCAATAATTGAAACACCATTGTAACAGTATATTCCTGAGACTAAATCAAGTAAAAAAGAGACTAAATCAAGTACACACACACAGAAGAAAATATTTGCAGTTACCACAATTTCACTATAATTTATAGTCATTTTAGGAGCCAACCACATTTTTATAATTCTTCCGACTACGTAAGTTATGGTTCACCTTTTTTTTTTGGCCCGGTGGAAATCCTCATGGACCGTCACCCGCCCCCTCTGGAGAAGGGGACGGGTGGTGTGTGGGACTTGTCTCCCTGGCACTTGGGCAATTGACGACCCAAGGCCAGTGTGAAATGGAGACGCCTACCGCACTAAAACCACCGGGGGTGGACTTCTATGCGCTATATGGGGACTGCCGGGGTACACAATCGCAGTCTTCCCGCACAGTCCCCGCGCCACGCGTAACTTCGCGCACTCCTCTGGGCCTAATTGGCCCTGGCCCTGAAGAGGGCCGACTCCTTCGCTCCGCGGCGAGGGTGCCACCGGCCCCTCGCCGCTCCCCCTAGTTACTGGTGGGGGAGGGCGGACCTGGGTCTCCAGCCCACGCCCGCCCGCCAGGGGTCCGTACGGACTTCCCGGCTAATCTCCTTTTAGTCGCCTCTTACGACAGGCAGGAGATACCCCAGGCCTATTCTTACGGCGGGACCTGGACGCCAAAACCTCCCCCCCTAAAACATCCCCCTTTCTCCCTCGTCACACAGGGGGGGTGTGACCCGGGGTAGAGAAGGATGTTTCCTTCTCTGCCCCCTACTCCTATGGAGGGGAGAGTTCCATGGATTCTCCCCCCCCCCCAGCACCGGCGGTGTCCATATCCCCAGACTCACATAGCCCAGTGGGGAACAGTGACTTTGACGCCGGCACCTCCTTCCTAGGGGAGGACATAACTACTGTGTCCCCCGTCGAGAAGTCCGACTCCAAGGAGTCGGACTCCCTGATCCTCTTCCCCCTTCGATTAGGGGGTCGTACTGAGGGGGGCGTGTCTGATCCCCTTTGGACTTGTGTCCTTTGGCGGACGCCTTGCCGCACCCCTCACCACCCAACCTATGGCCAGCCGGGAGGCCCAAATCTGCACACAAAGGGCAGTTGGGCTCTCCCTGGCACTCCTTTGCGGTATGTCCCGCAAGACCGCAGCGGTAGCACCGCTTGCTCCGGTCTACACCGCTGGTGCACCGTTGCCCCAGGTGTCCCTCCTCCAGGCACCGGTAACACCTTTGAGGGCGGGACTTCGCCGGCGAAACGGTCGCCCATGCGAATCCCGCTCTCAGTTTTCCCTTTGTCGTGAGCGCACGTGCGGCCTCCTTCGTGCACCGCACATATGCCACCCCCATGCGTCTGCCAGGATATCGAGGGAGCATATAAGTGCTGACCTCACCCGGCGCACAACCCGTCTCCTTACAAATGGCCTCAGCCAACCCCTCTTCGGAGACCATATCATCCAGGCCCGACACCCGCACCTCCGCGGTCTTGCCGGGCCTGGACACCCTGGCTCCCATGCCCTTAATGGCACCTTCCAATTGCCGAGCAAGGGTATCCGCCCCCCTTGCCCGGTCTTCGCCGGGGATCTCTAACAGGAAACCCCCATTGGCAGTTCTCCTCATCGTCATGCCGTCGACCCCCAGGCCTACGAGAGACACTTTGTCCCTCGCGGCCCGGAGGACGGCGGCACACGACTCCTTCGTCCCATTGGGGACGGTAATGGAAACGGCGGCGGTCTCCCGAGGACTCCGCGCGGATCGGGCAGCCGGCTTGCTGCCTCCTCCCGCCGGGAGCCGCCCCTATACCACCCCCCTCTCTCCTGTTTCTTCGAGGCAGGCAGGGTAGGTCTCTTCCCACCCTTTCCCCCGTCTTCGCCCTCTGGCAGGGAGGCACACTCCTTACCTCGCCTGCAGAGGGGACAGGCAGCCCGAGCCGCAACTCGAGCGCCCCCATCCTTTTACTGAGGCCCGCAGCCACACCGGCGCCCCCGCGTCCTCCTCCTGCAGCTTCCGCTCGGTGGTGCCCCCGGTGTTCGGGGCATTTGTCTCCCTTGTTTGGGTGGAGACCTCCCTCATGGCGGGCTTCGCCTTCGCCAGGTCGGAGGGAGGTTCCCTCTGCCTCTCCGCGAGCTGTATCGCCAGCTGCTCCACTCTTTCCTCGAGCGCCTTGCGCTCTTCCGCTTCCTTTCTCACCGCTTCCTCACTGACCCTGCGGTCCTCCTTGAAGCCGGCGAGCGCCTCCTTCAGCAGCTCCTTAAGATTGGAGATCTCCCCCTCCATGATTTCCGCCCGTGTCTGCGAGTTCTCCAACTCTGAGGCCAGATGGAAGACCCCAACGCAGACCTCCTTAGTGAAGATTTCCAAATCTTCTTTGTCTTCGGACGGCATCCTCTTCCACCATTCCTGCTCCTCGAGCGAGTAGTTCCTCCAGTCCTCAGCACTGCAGAGGAGTCTTCCTCCCGCTTCCTCTGGGGTGAGGGTCCTCCACATTTTGAGGTCTTTCTCAAAGCCCTCCGTGCCAGGCTGCTGTTGGATGTGCGCCACTTTGTACTGCTCCATCCACGCAGCCCAGATACCCCTATCTTCTAGCTCCTCAGCCAGGGGTGACGAGACGGCCTCCTTCCTTCCTACCATGGCCGACTCACCCCCTGACTTTTCCCCAATCTTCTTCCCCTTAAAAGAGGTTGAAGGCTGCGGATCTCCCTTGGATGTCACTTCTGTTATTGTGCACTCCATTTTTGTTTCTTCCCACTGTCCTCATCGGCTGCCCCGGTCAGGCCATGCCCTCCTCCCCCATCTCTGGAGGAGGCCCCGAGTTCACCCGGGGGACCGGGATATGGCACGGGCTGGGGGGAATACCGCACCCCGGCACAGGCCTCCAGCCCCCTACACGCCCCCACGCTCAATGCGTGGGGGTTTTCAGGGGTCCCGGGTCTCCGACGCCCCGGGTACCGATGAGGTGCCGCCACGCGGGGGGCCCCGCGGACCGATGGGGTGTCAGGGGAGGCCCGTCCCCCCTTCACCTTGCCTGCCGCGGCGACCGGCACGCACGCTTCCTCCGCCAGGGCAGACCCCCGCTAGAACGCGAGGGCCATCGCGAGAGTCTCCCCGGCTGGGGACAATGAGGGTCGTGACTCCCTCAAAGGCCCCTTCGTCCGAGGGACTGCCGCCGCAAGCCAGGGGAGAAAGACACCCCCGACCCCAGCGACAGCCCCCCGCCTCCGGCCCCCCGGACCCCGGCCTGGGAATACGTCCCAGCGGCTCCGGAGGGTCCCAGGCCACCGAGCCCCGCCTCGGAAACGTCCGAGCGGCCCCGGCAGCCTGTCACCTCGTTCGGACCAGGCGAGCCGGCGCCCTCATGCCAGGATGCACGCCCTCAGAAGGGCGTCACCCCGAGACACAGGGGACACCGACCCGCGATGTCCGTGGTCAGGACTGCGTGACTGCAATCCCAGCCCCCTCTCTGTCCGCCCACCCAGCGACCCGCACCACGTACGGTTACGCCGCCAGGGTCGGACCCTCCCTCGCCGCCGAGACAGGACCACGTCCAGCCCAGTGACGGGAGAGCCACCCCCCGCAACCCTGCCGGAACACCGGCGTGCAATGGGTTGCGGAGAGTCTTGCGGTGCGCCTTAGTCAGCGGACGATCAGCCTAGGGAACCGCCGGAGCCTAAAGCGGCACACAACGGTTCCCGGCCGAACGCCCGCCTAAGCTCCCCCACCACGACAAGGTGGCGCACCATGGGGGAGAAGTTATGGTTCACCTAACAATGTATTATAGTTCTCATAGACACAATATTGTACTCATAGACACAATATAATACTTCACTTTTGTTTACCATGTGATTAGTAAGGTGGATGATAGAAATGTAGTTATAAATTTACGCTATTAGATTTTGCAAAAATTAAGAGCACACGCCAATCAGATTTAAGATTTTTATAATAGTTGCAAAGTTGTCTTTCTGCTGAACGCAGTCATTTACTTTATTTATCAATCGTACTTCCCGCCATAGCTACCTTCTAAGGCTGCGTTCGCAAACACCTCCCAAGTGCCCTCATGGGTCTCCTCTCTT